TATTCCATTACACATATTAGCTTTGCTAATGCATTCCTTTGATTGCGAGCATTCAAAGTCAGTGCCGCTACGAGGTGCGAAAGAAAAATCATTTTCACATTTGAAAGTTTATAAAAGATCTGATCTTTGCCAACCTGCTACAATTTCCTTGAAGTTTATCGGGTTTCTTATCATTACAGACTAATTCGTCTGAATTGTCCGCGCAATCTTTGCGTCCATTGCAACGATGGCTGGCAGCAACGCAAGCGCCATAAGCGCATTTGAAACCAAACGCGTGACATGTAGCATAACCTTGTATGCAATTTTCGGCCGTTTCATCTGAGCCATCCTGACAATCGACCATGCCATCGCAGCGCGCATTTCCTGATATACACTGGCCGTTATTGCAATCCCATTGAGAGGTTCCACATTGCTGTTGTGCTATCACTAAGCGCAAAAAAAAAAAAACACAATTTTAGCAAATGTTAGCCTCTCTTAGATCTCACTCTCTCTTTATGATGTAAAATTTTAAATATGACAATTCCAAAATTCTTAATACGACGCAAAATAAAAACCATTAAGAAAATTGTTTCCGATCGTGATCGAATCGATTATACCCATTCTCGCGATTCTAAAAAAGACTAAAGAAAATGAAAAGAATTAAATTTTCCTAATTTTCCTCCAAAGGTGTTTTTGTTTTCGTTATATAGGCATGTGGGCGTGGTAGACGTGTTCCCTGAAAAGTTTGGATCATTTTCAAATTCTTTTGCAAGTTTGTAGATGTTACCTTCATTTTTGCGACCAGGAGACAGTCGCACAGATGGACCGACGGACATACTTAACTTAATTGGCAATTCGATTCTGATCAATTATATATACACTTTATGGGATTTCTGAAGCTTCATTCCGGGCATTTCAAGCGTTTTGAGGAAAGTGAATATACTTTCATCCTTCGCTGATGAGTATAAAAATTAATCGTTAACTTTATTAAGATGCAAACAAAGAACTCGATGCTCACATTGAACTTTTTCTACTTAGCACAATGAATCATCTCTGCTGACAATTTTCTAAATTCTTACAACAAGAAGACGAAGAAGAAGAAGAAGAAAAAAGCCTTTTTTTTTTCTATGGTGCTTAAAGTAGTAGTACTTTTCACTTATCACTTGCCTTTATTAACCAGGAAAGTTTTTATTAAAACACAACATATTCCAAAATATATGATATTTGACTTGTAAGCTGACATGATACGAACAAAAGTAATTTCGTTAAGAAAAACCTAATTGTTATGAAAAACCAGTTTTAACAGATTCTTGGAAACTTTTATAAAATTTATTTACAATAATTCATAATTAAATTTAAAAACGCAAACTATTTAACTTAAGCAACGTTAACGCGAGACTAGAACGTCTAGTTCAAGATTTAAGGGTTATCTACATCTTATAGTTGTTACTTGTCACGCTAATTGCATTCAATATTCTCAGTTAGGAAAGAGAAGATTTGAAGAGAAAACTGGAAAGTTTATATAGAGAGAGAGTTTAGAATATACTGAGAGGAATTAGCCGATTACTGTAGTTAGTTAATTACAATTTCTTAGTCCCCGCAATTTGAGTAGATTACAATATTAAATCAAAGATTTGTATTTAGTGAAAAGACGTGGACAGTCACCCGGGGGAAATTCCAAATTTCATTAATAAATATAACATAAAATTTCAACGAGAAGTTATAAAACCATGACTTACAAAAGAGAAGCGTTCAAATTTTCATTCCTTTAAAAACTTGCCCCCGCTTACTATCACGTTCTTCAAAGTAGGCGCAGAAGCTTCATGTCCGTAGGACTTGTAAGACACACATAATGCATAAGCAGCATGAGATCTTATGAATCAGGTCATATGAAAGACAGACAAGAAGCAAATGCTCGTTAAGCGGTTTTATTAGATCAATCGATCGTGGCTATCCTTCTTATCTAATGATCTTTATTAAACCGATTACATCCCAAATAGATCGATCACCCGCAGGGAATTGATCAACAAGTTGATCCTATGCGAAACATTTTCATTAACGTTCATCCTTCGGCTTGGGAAAATTTATAAATATACTGAGATGAGTTTTCAAAAGATGCCGACAACGAATATTTATTGTTATCAAGAGACAACATGAAGATATGAAGCTGAGTTTTGCACAAATGCCTTGCCTTGCCTTGATCCGCTTACGTGGACGCCTCCAATAGAAAAATTCGAAAATCACTTAGAAAGTTTCTTTTTAGCATTTGCAACATTCGACTCTGTTAACATATTTGCGAAAAACTGCTACCCGGATATTTGATCAGTTCGCTAGTACTCAAATCAATCAGTTAACTTTGCATGCATGCATGCTCGTTTTACTCTTTTCGATATCATCACTTTTTTTTATTATTACATAGTTGCTATTATTATGACGCATATATTTTAGCGATAGTAGTTATGCTAGATAAACAGGTATAACAAACGTATCTAGAATTACATTGATTACAGGTATAAGACGTTTTATTATATTTTCCAAATAGAATTCGTCAAATTATGCATCCACAAGTCTTTTCAAAGAAACGCTTTGAACTAACAAGCTTAGTAAGCGTTTTAGCTTCTGCTTTTGCTTTCTCATTGCGATTAATTAAAAATCGAATACAATTAAAATATTCTCGTTAATAGCGGAAGATGTCTTTTAGTCTCTTGTTTATTAAAGGAGCGCGTGCACAATCTTGGATTCTTAATCGATCAAGTAATACTTGTGCTGAACTTCAACTTCCTATCGTCATTTGTGTGAGTATGGCGCTTCCGCCGAATTATGGGCCAAAATGATCTCTCTTTGTAGAAATAGGTATAAGATACTGTTACGGACGAATGAAAAATATTGCTAGAGCAAGTAAAAGCACTTTAGTAAGGCATGGCCTTACATCCGCTTTGAAAAATAAAGCCTAACAGCGGAACCACTTTTAATAGCGTTTATCCTTGGAGGCAAAACACGTCGGGGTGCACCAAATTTCATCAAAAAATATCTCAAAACTTACAACATATATGTTGTTTATAAATTATATGGACGGGCAAATGGACAGACAAGATCGCTACAATAAAAGTCAGACTTATCTCAAGTCCTTCTGGATGTTGCCTACATACATACCAGCTTAATATAATCTCGTACCAGAAGTGGTGTAAGGTGTAATAATATTTATTTATTTTTAGAATAAATGTAAAATATGCATGCATAACTTCTCTCACTAACTTTATTTTGTGTTGACAAATTAATTTATAAGCACTAACCTTTAATTAAATTTTAATAATACTTGGAAAACAAGTGAAAGATAATAACGTTCTCGCTAATTAAGAGGAAGTTCGTCTCTTTTTGATTATATTTTTCCCAATCTTAGCTCTTCACATACATTTTCATAAGAAAGCTACAATGACATCATCCCGTATTGTGCCGAAGGCTTCCAAAGGGCTGATGCAAATCTGTGCCTCAGTCTAATTAAGGCAAGAAATAAATAAACAACATTTTAAGATGACACAACACTCCTAGTTTCATGTACTGATCCCCTGAACTACATATATATATATAAATTCAAACTACAAAAATTTCACTTTGACTGAACATGTGGAACTTTAAAACAAGTATAAACATTATAGTCGAGCAAAGCTGACTATTAGATATCCTAAACCACTTCACCTAATAGAGTCATTCGTTCGCGATTATTCGCGGATGATCAAAATTTCAGCTAACGTGGTCAAAATTTAGCAAACTCAGTTTACTTGTCAAAAACTCTGCTTATTTTCACTTACTTCCGTCACAAAGAAGTGCAAGTTAAACTTTCTAGCCCTAGAAAGATTTGTTTTTCATGAGAACCCCTATGCCTACCTAAACCGAATGCGAAGTAGTTAAGTTTTATATCAAATTAATCATGCGAATCAAATTTCAACAATTTAACACTTTTTCCGTGTAAAGGCTTGTTTTCCCCTTATATAAGATGGGGATAAGAACCGCTATATAAGATGGGATCCAGATAAGGTAAAATTAATGTTTATATCAAATTATTTATTAATTATTTATTATATTATATTTTGATCTGGAGAAATGGAAAATCAAGAGTTCTTGCCCTGTTGAGATTCACTTCCCGTAGGAATGGTTATTACTATGCCACATATCGCCAAAATATCTCAGAAATTTGCTGTTGAACAAAAGGACATAACACGGATATATGCACAGACAGACATACAGGCTTAGATCGAGCTGGAAAGTGATTACTAACGAATCGCTACAATAAAGAGTGGATCTCACTCAATTCCTTCGGTCCTACATAAGTCTGCACAAACTTAATCAACCTTGTGTCACAAGTGCTAAAAAATCTACGCAAACATCTACGGTTCACGCTAGACAAATCTTCTTGTTCTTTAGTATCTTTGAATAGCAATAACACCCATACACACTGACCAAAGATTAACAGGGAAGAATTTTAATTAATAAATAATAGTAATGTAGTGATGTAGCGATGCATATAAAGGCTATCAAGAGAACTTTATTTTAAAACAAGGATCGCTTCTCTCATTCTATTTGTTTCGTTTACAATAGTTATAAGAAGATTACAAAAATTTTTAATTTATTTACGTGCTTTCAATTATTAACAATCTTTCCATTTTATAATCAGCAAGAAAAAGTTTCGAATTCTAAAACAATGCCTCATCTTCTTGCTTGAACTGCTCCAATTTCTGTAACATTTCCCTGTCCATATAATTGATATTCGTTGCTGTTACAATTCCCTCAGACGCACATTCGTGATTAAGGAAAGGCGAAAAGCTAATTATACCCACTAGCTCGTACCGTTTTGTCACTGAATTTTGCATTACAAAGCCTCCGCCACTATCGCCGCGGCATACGTTCACTTCACCTTCGTTTTGCAAGCAGAATTTATCTCCAGCTAAATTTACAAATTTACGGCTTAATTGGCAACTATGATAAGATATTGATCTCATAGGAACGCTCTGTAAAGCTCCATTCTCAGTGTCGCCATAGCCGACAATTGAACCAATCCAATCATTTGGAACATAAGTATTGCCGTCAGTTCGCAAATTTAAACACACGGCTGATATGTTCTCATTGAAGATGAACGGTGTCTTTAATTTAACAATAGCAATATCTTTATGGAAGTTGTTTTCGTCGTATTGGAAGCTTGGATGAAAGAAAGCAGAAAAAATAAAAAATAAATGGAAAATGAATGATGCGTCCCGCTAGGATAGTTGGGACTACACGCTACATAACCTTAAGAAAATAGAATTTTATCTCTCTTTGTCCGCCTACCTCTCTCTCTCTCTCTTTCTCTCTTTCCCTCCCTTACCCCATCTATGGCAATAACTCTCCCACACGCTCTAGTCCTTTGTATTCTGACTGTATCCGACAGTTTCCCCTACAAACAAACGGCGCGAGCAAATTCTCTTTCGTTATCTCCCTATCTTTCTCTACCTTTTTTCTATTTTTTTTTTTTTTTGTATTTATGTTCCTTTCTCTTTATCTCTCCGCCGTTTCTCTTATTTCTTCCTTTTTGTGGCTGTCTGTCTGTCCCTATCTATCTTTCTTTTAGATTGTGTTAGCCCCACGGCGTCGCTTTTGTACCTTGACGAGAACATAACTTCAGCAACATCTGCAATCTGGGCAGTTGGATCTTTAGCCATATCGTAGTCGCGATAATATTTTCCAGCGGCCACTTGAAAGAAATTAATGGGCATTTTCTGCTCTGTCGCGATATCCCAAAAACAATGAGCAGCTACCATAAACGATTAGAAAATGCAATAAGTCTTCCATTTGAAATATTCTTAAATGTCCGTTTCATACATACCGGTTATAATTACACTCGGCGATATAACGGATCCGCCACAAATGAGTTTATAGGTAATGTTATCCGGCTTTTGGTAAATGGCCACTTGCCAGGGTAGTTCGCTTTGCTCTGTCGAGGCGCCTGAATCGAGCCTAGATTGTGTACTTGGTCGCAGAACTCCGCATTCAACGTTACAAGTGGGACGCTTAGCGTTGAACTTACCAGCAGAGGTGCATTGCATTGGTTGTAAGTTGTCATCTAAACCTTCGTAGCCGGGGTTACATCTAAAAATTACCGCAGCATTTGGTTCTATCCGTTGACACTGTCGGACGACAATCCCATTATTAATGCACACATGAAATGTGGACAAACCGAGCAATGACTGATCGTCGCAATATTCTTAAAAGTGAAAATTTTACAAGAAGCAAATGAAAGAATTTAGTTTTATTTTCAACTTACGAGCGCATGTAGGTAACGCTGGTGTCCATTCACCATCTTGACAAGTGAAAGTCGCATTAATAGGTATACGATAATCCTCCGAACACTCTAAGTGAACAGTTTCAAAATTATTTATCCAACTGCCTAGAGGTACAGTCTCATTCTGTGGATGTAACCGGGCCGCCAGGTGAAGATCATTTTCTGGTAATTGACATTTATTTTCATTTTGCGCCACTATCCAGACGGATTTTATTAAAATACTCCATATTCCAAAATAAATTATATTATACTTGTTGTCTGAAATGATGCGCATAAAAATGAAAATTTATAAAAATCTAGTTTCAAGAGATTCCTGGAAATGTGTATAAAAATTTCTTACAATGATTCATGATTGAATTTAAACAATAACTAATTAACGTAAGCAACGTTAACGCGAGACTAAAAATTCAATTTTCTATTCAAGACTGAAAACTTGTCTACATCTTATGTATGCTGTAACTTCGTACACTAATTGCATACAACATTCTCAGTTAAGAAAGAGAAGATTTAAAGAGAAAACTAGATAGTTTATGAATGCACTGAGAGGAATTAACTAACCAATATAGTTAGTTAATTCTTCTACATCTTACTCACTGCAATTTGAGTAGATTAAGATTAAGATTTGCATTTAGTGAAAAGACGTGGACAGTCATCCGGCGAAGTTCAAGTTTTTTCAATAAATAAAACATAAAATTTGAACGTGAAGTAATAAAACGATGACTTAAAGCGCAGAAGCTCCGTGTCCGTGTAAGACCCACATAATGCATAAATAACATGAGATCTTACCAATCAGGTCGCATAAGGGGCGGACAAGCAGCAAATGCTCGTGAAGCGATTTTAATAGATCAAGGAAAAACTTCGTGGCGTTTTTGAACTGATCATTCTTTATTATCATGGTCTTTATTATTATGTGCCAAATAGGTCGATCGAAAAAGTGATGCGCTGCGAATCGTTTTCAATAGTATTCGTCCTTGGGCCGAAACACCGACCTACAAAATAAACTTAAGAAACCAAGAAGGACAAAATCGACCGGCATAGTGAAGGGTAGATCAATCCCACATACTGTTGGACGTTGTCTTGAAATTTGTTGTATATAACATTTTAACAGATTGCTGTGATCTAGCAAATGACTATCCGCATGAAATTAAAAACACAATTATGATTTCGAATTTCCCTATTTCAGCCCAAGTCAATGAAAGTATTTTCGTTCGCCAAACGCTGATGATATTCCATCAAGCATAAGGTCTCCCTGAAATCGGGTTTTTATTGATTTCGAAAAGTGAATCTCTTATGTCGATATGTAAAAGCTATGACAGACTTCTAGTTGAGAATTGTAGGAACGTTGTTAAACCGAATGTTTGAGTGTATTCTTGCTCGACATTTCGACATCTCCGCGTCGACATGGAAAATCAAACATCGCGAACAAATCATGAATTTCCAATTCGATCACTTGGGACCGTTCTAATATGCTTTGTATATAAACTATCCTCCTGTGTCTGTGTTTGAGTCGTCCCACATCTTTTTCTTAGCAGACGACATGAAACTGAAATGATCTCCGCCGTCCTTGCTAAAAAATATTCCATTGATCGTCGAATAAACTCAGGCACCATGATCATATGATTTTCAAGCAATTTCTTAATGTTGAACCTAAATAAACCTAAAAACCTATTCTCAGTCAGTTCAAAAATAATTCTTGGGTCTTACATTAAAAAGTTTGCTGCTACATGAAAACGAATTACTACTAATAACTTTACCTTGACTGGAGAAACGTAGATCTATTTTAACAAACAATTTTTTAGTAAATTAATAAATGGTTCTATAGATACGCCAGCCTTGTTAAAGGAAATGGACTTCAATGTTCCTGTCCATGCATCCAGTTTCTCTCATAAAACTAAATTAATGTACGTGAACCTATAATTAGTTTAATCCATTTAGGGTTCTACATAGAAATGTAAAAGACGATTGCAACTGCCGTCGTTTTTATGCACTTCGTGCCATTGATAAATTAAAATAGCTTAAGAATTCCAGTCACTATTTATAAAATCTTCATCGTATTAAGGCCGCTTTCCTTTTTCTTGCCATAGAAAAACCGTCCCTGAAGAGGTTAAGGTAACTTAAAAGTTACATAGATAATCCTGTACTGTTAATAGGTTTTGAGCTTGCCTCATCAACACAGTTTGAGATTTTGTTAAAGCAATATACCTACGCAAATAAAATAAAATAAGAAAAGAATAGATGAGGAAAAGGGCTCTCAGTCCGTTTTTCCAAATATGTGCATTTAGAGATGCGCACCTTTGGTATTATTATTAATCAAATCAAGACTTGCTATAACTCGATTGAAACCTAAATGTACGGGTTTACATTTCGTGAGAATCCTTATATGGGATCGTATCCCAAAAATAAACCTACGAAATCTCCAAATTCGGTAACGTAGATCAATTTTCATAATGAAATATCGAAATATTTGCTTTATGTAGATTTAGTTTTCGTAGAAACGGTTATGTGAGAGGAGGTCCAAAAATTTGCTGTAGCCATACTAACATTTCCATACCAATTTGGAACGTCAAAATAATTGCAAATTTTTTTCATATAAGGACGATTGATCGAAAAAGTGGACCGGCCCGAAACATTTGCGACAGCCTTTGTCCTTGGGTTAGTGTACCAAATTGCGTAAAGATATCTTAAAAATTGACCCTTAGGTTGAGCACAAAAACTTATGAACAAACCTCAGGCGGACAGACGGATAGACAAACTCAACTGAATCAGAAAAAGATTTTAAACCGCTTGGTATAACAAAAGGTGAGTCTATCTCAAGTCTTTCGGGATGTTACATACATCCACACAAACTTAAGTAACTCCTTGCATCGCAAGTGCTGTGATGTATAAAAAAAAAAAAAACCGGCAATAAGATCATCAAAAAAGACTTTAAATAACAGGAAAATCTGTGCCACTATTGTTAAAACTTTGAATCGGGTAACGAATACCGCCGACTTTATTAACCAATCAACCCTATGATCGATTTGTTGCTATTCAGATATAATGATATCTTAGCCGTAGCCAGGTCGCGATTTCCCCTCGATAAGCAGCGACATTCTATTCATCATGTGAAATAAATTTCTTTCTTCAGCATATTATTTAATAATTTTTTTTTTAAAATATAAAATAGAATTTGTTTATTTTTACAATAAATGTAAATGCATAACTGCTCTCTTAACTATTTTGTATTCTTATAAATTACAAATTTACAATCTTGTTAACGAAATAAATCATAAGTGCTACCCGTTAATGAGCTCTCAATAATTTTTTTAATAATTAATTTTTAAAAATATTAAAAAAAAAAGGATAATAAAGTTCTCTCTAATTAAGAGGAAGTTCTTCTCTTTCGAATATCTTTTTTTCCTCTTTAGCTCTTAAAATGTATTTCCATAAACAAGTAGCTGTGATAGCGCCCGATATTGGCCCCAACCAATAAACCCAATGATCCGTGAAATCAACATTCCATAGAGCGGGCGCAAACGAGCGAGCCGGATTCATACTGCATCCTGTGTAAGGCCCCTTGAAAGTGAAACATTATTAAGATATTGTTCAAGTATTTAATAGATGTCAAAACCTACTGCTGTGATCGCCAAGCATGCAACAGCCAGACCGAAGCGAATAGACACTGAATCGTGATAGTTGACGTTACGCGCATCCCACACAGCACAGCAAATCAATAACAGGATAGCCGTAGCAATAAATTCGACAAATACTCCTTGTAATGGATAGAGTTCTGGATGGACTGTGGTGACACATAAGGCATGATTTGCATGTGGAGCTTCCCGTATGACTTCGGGCAGTATACCCCTTAATAGGCCGTAACCAACGAAAGCACCCAACATCTGAGCGATGCAGTAAATGAATGTCATTGGCAAGGTCAACGTTCCATAGATGAGAGCAGCTATCGATATAGCTGGATTTGCATGCGCACCGGAGACACAAGCGCAGCACTGAACTACTATCATGACGACTAAACCAAAATTGAAACACATTTGGAAATGATTATTAGATATCAACGGCGTCGAAATGCAACCCATGCACCCAAGGAAAACCAGCATAAAGGCGCCAATAAATTCCGAAACGAAACAGGTTATCATTTTCCAAGCATTAGGCTTCATTTTCCAAAGGTTTCGTTTGCAGTGGCTTCTGGAATTATAAATGCGAAATAAAGAAAGAAGCAAAAGTTATAATCAATTGTTAAGTCTTTTCCAGATCCTATATTAAAGAATGGTAGCCGGTATTATACAGCTTTGTAATAAAAATATAGTGGAAGAGAACCTTTATGCGGGACTTTGTTTGGAATGAAAAGACGTCAACTTTCAAAGATTTTCGGGACCGTCTGTACCTCTCGCCACTGTCTCTGTCCTTGGGCGGGGCCATCGTCCTTTCTCTCGGTATATCTTTGTAACTCCATTTCTCTTTCCACTTCTGTATGTCACTATCGCTATTTATTACTATCTCTATATGTATTTTTCTCTCTCTCTCTCTCTCTCTCTCTATCTATCTATCTATTTACCTATCTCTTTCTCTGTCTTTCTTTCTTTTTCTCTATCTCGATGTAATACTATATCTCGCTTTATCGCTCCCTACATGCCTATTTCTCTCTATATATTCCTTTCTCTTCTCCTCCTCCCTCCGGCAGCCACCAATCTCTTTTTCTCCTCCAAACGTTGCTTGGATGTCGTCAATCGCTTACGTCCAAAATTTTCGATACCTTTGAGCATGAAGGCTTTGTTCTGCTTATTTACAGGTACACTCAGCGCAAATGCCTTACATAAATAAAAGGGTTTTGTCCATTAAGTCCTTTAACAGGGCTACATTCAGCCTCTCTTCCTGAAGTTACCTGGCAAACAACACCCTATCGCGACTTATCGTTTTTTTTACCGTACTATCCCCCTTTGGACCTGACGTCTCTATTTTCAAATCGAACGTTCACACACACTACCTCCTTTCACCATCCATTTCTTTTGGTAATCGAAGCCTGTCATCACCCTGCCCGCACAGATAGTGGAAAAAAAATGTAACGTAATCTAATCTCACAATTTAAGATTAAGTGCACACATAGGTTTGGACAGCTCTGTTCTAAATTTCATATCAAAGGTCGCTTAGTGCACAATTATGAAATTTCTAATGTGAATATACAAACTAAACGCTGATTATCTTGGTCGGCGCTTAAATTAATAAAACGATTAAGTTTAGTCATTTCATGCCACTGAAAACGACTTCTATTTACTCTAGACTCACTTACTTTAAGGTTTGAGATTTCGAAAATGAACAATGGTCGTAAAACCTATGGTCGCTTATACATCAACTGCTGCAGCAATTTTAAAAAATTTGAAGAATTTTGCAAAGGCAGAAATTGTTGTAAAATTTTTACAGATTAGCGACATTTGATTGACATGGACATGCCTGCAGGGTGCGAGCTTTTTTACTCTTTATTTATTTAATTTTTTGCTATCAACAAAAAACTTCCTCTAGCCCACTTATTTAAAAGCTATTTGAAAAATTTTAGCAACTAAAAATATTCATATTTAAAGCTTATCATCAACTCTCGGGTCATTGCATGGCAAAGAGATGTGTACTTTTCCTTTTTGTACCCATCACCGAACGATGAGGGATATGTTCATTTCGTCAAAACGGTTGTAACGCCCAGAAGGAAGCATCAGAAACCCGACAAAGTATATATATTCTTGATCATCATCAAACTCAAAATCGATTTAAGTATATTCATTTGTTAGTCTATATGTCTGTCTGTCTGTCTGTATGTCCATCTGTGTAAGGTCTATTGAAGCATTCTCTTGGCCGCAATAATGACTTCAAATCGACTTCAAATTTAGCAGAAATATTGAAAATTCTTGCATGGAGATTAGTGTTGAAAATGGGCCAAATCGGGCGAAGGACACGTCCACATCACCCCTCTGTTTTTTGAAAGGGCTGAAATATCGGTTTTTTGCTCATTACTTATAAACTGTAGGAGGCTAAATGTATAAAGTTTTGAACGCTTATCATGTAGACGATGCAAAGTGAGAAAATTTGGAATGCACCTAAACATGTCCGTCTGTTCGTTTGACTATCTGTCCGCCTGCGTAACTGCGCAGTATTTATCGTAAACATTCGCCCGTTTGCGAAAATGAATATATCGTTTAGAAATGTGCAAAAGAAGTTGGGAGGGACCTAAACTTTTCACAGGTCACGCCCACAACCTTTTATTTAGAAAATTTTTAGAAAGTAGAAAAAATCAGCTGCGCCCATTTTAGTTCTTTTCATGTTTTTGTCTTTTTTTGGGATAGCGGTGATGGGTATAAAAGATTCGGGCATGACCGAATATAATTCTCTAATTTGTTTTTTTTTTTTTTTTTTTTTTTGTGTGTGTTATGTATAATTATCGGTTTTGTTTGATAACTTATAGGTTTGTATTTCAATTTATTGAAAAATCTTAAGATATCAGAACTAAAACGCATCATAAGAAGAAGAAAGCGAACAATGTGTATTTGATAAGCGAGCGACAAATGATACACCATTGACACAATTTTAACTTGACATTGATGATCAAATGCGAAATATTGGCCGCACGCCAATATGGGCATTTGCCGAGGATTTTCAATGAAATATTAAAGAAAACTTTGTTTTACTTCTCCTTCCTGCAGCGTTGTATGCTACATAAAGTTTCATTTATAAATCATGTGGAAATTTATTTTTAAAAATATTATGCGAATATTTTCACGTAAGGTATCTTATGTTAAGAATAAAAGATGCTAAAAAAAAATAAATGTATAATTTTCACAATTAAGAGACACAGATGAGCGCACAGATTGACGGACGACTGACCAATCGTTCGAATAAATAAATGATCGGACGGAGAGACTGAATCAACATGGTTGGAAAAAAGGTCAGGCCAGTAAGCAGACGAGCAAATGACCGCATAGAGAATTAGATGGACACACAGACAGAGGGTGTGATAGATAGACGGACCGAATAATAGATGTGTTCACACACGAAAATATGGACGCATAACCTAAGTGAGTATTAACAAGCAATTTGAGGCAAATAAATAGAAAAATTGCCTAACGAATCAATGACGGTATAAATAGTGGGATGCAAAAATCGAAAGGCGGACGGATCGGTGTACAGTAGGAAAACGTGGACGGAAAGGTGAACGAACAGAGTAAGTGAACATTGCCAGGCTCAAAAAGTAGACAAGTATACAGATAGATACATCGACGAACGTATACGTAGTTGGATGCGTGGACAGACAGATGGAGAGGCACATGGAACGAATAGAAAGGCTGGTATCTGACCAGATAAAATGGTAAACTGCCCGAAAGACAATATAGACAAATATCGACGAAATAACCGGACGGGTAGAGAAATATGTGGGTAGGTTCATCAACATATGGACAAAGGGATTGGCAAATAAACAGATCGATTAGGAAGTGGACGGACGAGCGAAGAGTCTAATAGAATAACGTAAAAATCGGAAAAGCGAAGAACAAACTGAAATGATGAAAAGACATTAGTGTGAATGAAAAGAAGAAAAGCTATGAGCAGACGGAGAGATGGTCAAATTGGCAAATGCACAGGCAATTATAACAGTTGCACGGATTAAGTGACATATGTTTGAAATACTGCAGAATACCGTATTGGAAATCGCAACTCTTGTCTAATGGGCTAATTATGCCTATTTATTGTTCCAGACGCTATTCGTTTCACAATCCCTCATTCAAGTCCTCTCTCATTCCTTTACCTGCTCACCGCATATTGATATACAAAAAATAATTTGCTAAGAAAACACTGTAGTGGGCCACAGCATCCGATTAAACATCCTACCCCACTTCCGTTAAAATGATTTATTCATTTAACGGGTTTTCAAGGTGAAGCGCTATATAGAGTGCGATCGAACCATTTTCGTTTCTTTGGGGCAAAACAAGTCGGTGTACCAAATTTTATCAAAGATATGCGCGACCCATTGCTTAAACAAGAAGAATAGAAGACGGATAAACAGAAGGCCAGATTTAGATCGTTTCAGAATCAAGAAAGGTAGGTCGATCTCAAACCCTTCCGCGTGTTGTATATATCCGCACGGATTTAATACACCATTGTACCACAAGTCGTGTAGACTATAATAACTTCATATATATTTAAAGCAAACAATTCAAATCAAATTTTTTGAATTTTAAAAGTTTCCATCTCTCACATATACCCTAAGCAAATGTAATAGCTCCTTAAGATTATACAAAATGTTACAATAAAATGTAATCAGCTCTTCGCTGGTGATTGATTATGAAAATTATCTTTTCTTTCTACGAATAATAAAGTAACACGTGAAATAAACGTAAATAATGGAAAAAAAATAGAAAACCATTTGATAAACTAACAAAAATGTCTTATCTGATCATCGCGTCAATCAAAGAGATTTCTTTGTCATGTTCATACACATTTTTATCTTGTGATAGGCAAATTGTTTTTTTAATTATGATAATTTTACATATACATGGCTTTAATTGTTTCGATATTCGATTGTTCGCAAAATTTGTTTAATACTTTTTGTTCTTCCTTTACATAATTTGAAAACTTTTAGGTTGCGTACGCTCATTAACTATTCACTGAACTTAACTGAAAACAAATGAGAAGAAGTTAGATGTTAGACGTTCACGCGCATAGCTCTGTTTCACTATAACTTATTAATTACAATAAGTTGGATGGACGATGGAGACATTCGCTACCCATCGGTTAAGGAAAATATATAAAAAAAAATTTGTTTTTTTTTTTTTGAGCGCGTTTGAAGGCATCGGCAAGTTTAACAATCACGCAGCACTTAATCTTTATTCGGCAGAAAATTAAAAGCAATTAAAGAAAATTGTCGATGACACAACTCTCTGAATTGCTCTGTTATAACGTTAAGAACAATCCGCTGTAACGAAACCCGATAAATGGCTTTCGACCCATAAGCATTGACATGGACAGATTTAGAAAACCACTTGGGATTATATCTATGGCATTAACTGATAGTAAATATTAATTATGATCATGCATTTCTCTTTGCAGTCTTCCTTACGAGATGTGCTCTGATCAAGTGATAAAAAAAAAAAAATGTAACATCGCTTTACTCACGTAAAGTCGACTTTAAAATAGGGTCGCTGAGATCGTTTAATCTAATATGAATCAGAACACGTCAGTGCAACAAATTCCCTCAAAATATTTTAAAAATTTCTACCTATAGAGTAAACAGAAAATAAATACAAGGACAGAGATTAGATGAACAGAAAGTTAGATGGACTTAATAGTATTCTGAATGGGTTGGTTATAAAAAAAGAGTTGAATTTTGTATTGAAAAATGAGTGCAAGAAATTGTGGATGAGGACAATGTCACATTTCCTATAACCTCTTTCCTGTCGGCAGAGAAACTCGAAACATATTGAACTACAGGAAGCCAACGGCCCATAATTAAATAACTTACACCACTTTTCACTTAATATAGTTATTCATGAAACGTATTTTCAAAATAAGGTGTTATGTCGGAAAAAGTCTATAAAGTTGTTCGATCCAAATCATTTCTTCGTTCTTGCTCCTTTTGATCCATTGGCGATCTGTAGGTTGAACACAGGAAAACAAGACGGACGGACGACAAGACAAGCGGTAAAAAATTCTTCAACCTGTAGGATAAACACAAGAAAAAAAGACGGACGGACGGACGGACAGATAAACTTAAGTCGATTGAGAAATTGGTTCTGGCTCAGAATAGTCAAAAATGGTGATATGTTTTAACTCCTTCTGGGTATTGCATACATCCGCACAAACTTAATATACTTTTGTAGCACAAACTGTGTGTTCTTCCAAAAAAAAAGTTACACTTAAGGATAAATAAAATGAAAAGTGGATGTTTTCGAGTCATTAACTTAAAAATTTGGTTTCCTGCCGATTTCAAAGACACGGTAAGAATGTAGAGATAAAGCGTCTATTGCTTTATGCATATTCCTTTTTGTCCGACAGCATCAGTAATTCATAGAAACCTTAAAAGCTTAGACTCAGCTCAGGTTTTTAAAGCGAAATAAATTTTATCTTTTTTTTAACATTTAAAAAATAAATACAAATATTTACGAGAATGCTTATGACTTAAATCAAGCTTGTAAATGCGCCGACATTTACAAAATATATAATTGTTCGTATTTGCTTATTTCAATTCTTTTTTTTTTTTTTTACAAAGTAAAAAGTTTAAAAATAATTTCAAATTGAAATAAATCAATAAGATAAGTATGCTACCGCTTTAAACAGTTTGTTATTAAATGAAAAGAGATCGGTGAAGATCTTTCGGTGTCGTCTTCTATCTAAGTCTGCAATACGAAAGAAAATTCTTCTCGATAGAAAAATCTTATTCGATTTTTCAATTATTTGAGACTCTAGTGTTGACGTTGTTCAGAGAGTCCATAACTTAAATAAAAGCCAAACCTTCTTGTACATACATACATACATCCGCCTGAGTAGCCAAAGGCGAGGAATCTCGACTAGCAAGTCAATAGTCGTGGGTTCGAATCTCAAGTGCGGTAGAGTTTTTAATAAAAGCCGATAGCCTTAGATGCTAGGGCTTTTAAGAGTTTAGTCTTAGAATTTATTTCTCTGGCGAAATTAATAATAATAATAATACATACATACATACAATATACAATATGCATATATACAATATACATGTATACAGCTACGCTCATAATATTGATAGGCCCTTCTCGCACTTCCGTGAAAAGAGAGGTTAGAAGTTGTTCAGAAACTCCATAACTTAAATAAAGAGCAAATCTCCTATACGTATACAGCTACGCGCACTACCGAGGAATATTAATACTTTTCTCAAGAAACATTTAGGTAACTTAATTCATCCATTGGCAGGCCTTTCCCCCGCTTCCCTGAAAAGAGTGGTCACCTACGCATATACATGTACATGTAACTCATATGATGGTTTTAGCGTCATTACCAAGGAATCTTAATACATTCCTTAAAACTATCAAGGAACGTTAAGTTTGATATGGTTCTTCCCCGAACCCCGACAAAAGAACTTACTAACACTACTAAGAAGGTTTTGTAGATGTGGCAATTGACCAAATTACGTAATTCTTCACTATTTCACTTGAACAAATATTGAGTATGTTTGCCACCTTTCTCTTGTTAGCAATTTGATGTTGATAGTCGACTGAAATCTTGTACGAAGGGAACCATAGTTAATGAAATGTTGATCAATCTTCCTTAGGTGGATCTTATGCGAAGAGAAAATGGCATGAAATTAGCAAGAACTGCTACGAAAAGCTTTGTTATCCTGACATTGTGGTTCACCTCTTTGCCAAGATGTATTCAATAAATGAGATGCATACGAGAAGACGAGCCAAGTGATTATAAAAATAGAATAAAAACGGAAAAAATATAAAAATTAATAAAAAACTTAAATCATAGGTTACGTTACAAAAAATCGTTATCAATCAATCAATGTCATGATTATTGCTGTTTATCGTGAAATTTGTGTAATAGAATTAAAGGAAAATTACATTCTTGATTGAACTCACGTATAACTTTGTTCAATAAGTGGGGTGAATTTGGTTTGTAAAGTCGAAAAACTTTATTCTTCTTAATGAATTGGATCGTCTTCATTACCTTCGTAACACTCATTTAATAATCTTTATTAACGGTTTAGCTTGACGAAAAAATGACGAAAAAAACTGTCAATTTGGTTTTGGTTTGGTGTTTGGAACGACTTTAGCTCGGTTTCTTCACACTTTTTGTTCACTTTTTGTATGATATTCGATTCGGCCGGTCGATTGTTTTTAGGTCATCTGCGAAGATATAAATATAATCTCCCGTAACGAACTATTTCATGAAGTCGCGGCAATCAGAAGCACAGACGTAACCAAAATCGAAAAAATCACTTTTACAGAAACACATGCAAGTCTCCAGCAATTGAATAACTCTATCTCTCTCTATCTCTCTCTCTCTCTCTCTCCCTCTCTTTCTCTCTCTTTCTCTCTCCCTCCCCCTTTATATCTCTCTCTCTCTTTCTCTCTCTCTCTCTCTCTCTCTCTCTCTCTCTTTCTCTCTCTCTCTCTTTCTCTCTCTCTCTCTCTTTCCCTCTCTTTCTCTCTCTCTCTCTCTCTCTCTCTTTCCCTCGGCCGCAGGTGTGGAAACTTTCTGCGGCGTAACATAGGGCCACGTCAAGAGGCCGGTATCGCAATTGGCACAAAATGGCAAAGTAAAAGATTTATCAAATGTTCCGGCTTAGCACACAAGCTATTGAAATTATGAAGGGGCGGTGTACGTGACTTCTACACGGATTACAACTCCGTCGCGTACCATCTGAAAAGTATTCGTATCTCAGATACCAATTCATGCAAAGTCCACGAGGGGGCAAACGAAACTTCTCGCCATATCCTGTACGAATGCGCAGCTAACCGCGAATACAGTCCAACGCTCCGAATCTGGGAAGGTGGCGGGGCACGAGCAAGTGCAATAGATCTTTTTTGTTCTCGATACGGATTGTTTACCACATTACAACACCTATGCTAGTATTCTGCAATTATTCTTTAATTCCCACAATTATTTTGTACCATAGGCAAGAAGCAAAGCTTATAGCAAAAAATGTACCATGTCTTGATGAAAAAACAGAAGATCAAATCAAAGAGATAAGAAATTTTATCTTTTTTATATATTTATATTACGTTATTTATGATTTCTTCTCACTGGTTTAAATTCTTAAGTAGCGCTAATGGAACTAACTACCAAACTGTACTGGATCTGTATTTATTTTTTTTGCTTTATTTATAATGCAAAGTAACTCGATTCAATAATTATAGAGATTTTTATTTCGTTCATTAATAACAGATATATACATATAAAAACAGTCCGATCATTTGCATATATGTTAATGTTCCATATGCTAAGTATGACGAGGTGCACCCATTCATATTAGATTCTACTAAATAGGTTAACACAAACCTTTGATCGGGCTCTTTTCGAGATCACTGTCTTATCGAGTATCAAATATTTTGCTTCTCAAGCAGAGGATTGCTATTAGAAAAGAATAGAAAGAATCTTCCGGTCTCACCCCGTTTTACTTAAAGTGCTAAAAGAAATATGAAAGCATCTGTAGGACGAATTTCGTAAGATCTCTAAAGAAAATAGAATTAGTAAAGTAAAATGACTTTCTGCTCGCATTTATTGCATGAGAAGCTCTCTGCGATTATTTATTGATTATTTGCATCGAACTGTTAAACAGTTGAAAAATTTTGAAAAATGATTTGTTAGGCAAAGAAGAGAGGAGAAGAAAAAGGCCTGACATCTAAAAATTTCCCAATGGATAATATATAAGTAAATGTGTAAGTCGCGACATTGTATACTTTCAATAAGTCACTTTTTATCATTCTTTTGCACTTAAAGTAAAATAACTCGCTTTTCGCATCTGTACACCTGGTAAATGCTTGCAGTGAGGTGACCAAACGTTCTATTGAAAGCAGTGCAGTGTTCTTTATTCGACATTACTTGCAGTAAATACTTCTGTTTGAAATCTATGCTGGCAGGATTACCTGTTTTGAGAATTTTGTACTCTTTTAGCACAAATCTTAAGAGTTTATGCTTACATTTCTGAGGTTTGAGATAAGATGGCCAAAAAAAGACAAAACCCGAAAAGGGCAAAAATAGCGAACACAATCCCAAATAGTTCTCTATCTCTATCCGATTTCCTTTCTCCTCCACTTTCTTCCTTGTCTATTGTCTCCCCTTTCTTCCTGTCTTCTTATATGAAGAAAACTTCAAAATACACATAAGTGCAAAGTTGATCTATTCCTATAGACCAGTGAGCACTTTTAACTTTTCAATTTTGGAGTAGTTTTGAAAGACATTCGCGTAGATCGTCAAATTTGTTCCTTCTGATGAATGTCTTGAAGATTTCGCGCATTTGTAATGAATGCGTTAACTGCAGCGATAGAGATACGATTAAAATTTATGGTTTATGTTTTTACATAAACCTTCTCTTTATGCCAGAACTCAATCGCAGCTGCAAAGAATGTACAACTTATTCACGGCTCCCGTTTCACTTAACCCTTGCCCACCTCCTTCTATATACATATTGTCTTCTAATACCTGACTCCGCCAAATTGCCCCGGTCAGGCATGTAAAATCTTTTATGAGGTTACGTCTACAAAGTTGAAATTTACTACAAAGCTTCTTTATTAGAAACACATAAAATGTACTCTCATACTTCCTATTTAGACCGATCCGTTCCTCTGTCTGTCTCTAGCATTTAGTGTATTTTTTTTTGGATTTTGTCTATAAATTTAAAATTTCTTAAAGAGCTTTTCTTTGAGAAGTAGACGAAAGTTGCTCCCATAGTTCTTATTTAGGCAACCCTGTCCGTGCATCCATCTTTTTTATGGCTTTTATGGGATTTTGTCTACAAGTTTAAAATTTATTGAAAAGCTTTTCCATAAGAAGTACACAAACGTTGCTCTTGTACTTCCTGTCCAACCAGATTTTTCCGTCTGTCCGGCTTTAGCATGCAATGTCTTTTACTAGATTATGTCTACAAAGTCGAAATTTACTGAAAAAATTTTCTATTAAAAGTACATCAAATTCACTTTCGTATTTCCTATTTAGCCATATGTCCATATTTGGTTGGGGTACACGAAGAGCTAAGAACCGAATAAAAAAATTTGAACATGATGTATTCTTGGTCCAATCTAACATATCAAATTTATAAAGGAATGCAGTCCACCTACAAACACACTTCTCCAATAGCTGAGAAAGTGACACGTCGGCTTTTCTACCATTACCTTACCTTAGGAACTCTGGGAAATAATAATGTAATATTTACTTAAGGCAAGGGGTATCCAAGATTCACCCTCAACCAAATACGGGTTTCTCTATTTTATTGTTTTTGTTTTTATTTATTATTTAAATCATTTATTTTTCACACAACACTATCGACCGGTTAATCGACAAGTATCTCAAGTAAATAATTTAAATTTTTAATTGTATGAATGCTATAAAGAGTGAATAGAAAATAAATTATTTTATGCTAATTTTATGATATCGCTTAACAGGATTGCATTTGTAGCAGACAACTATTTCAATTGGTAACAGACAATAGAATATTGAAATTTTAAATAAATTTGAAAAAAAGAGATGAAAATTGTTTACTTTTTTATACCCATCACTGTAAGATGGGGGTATATTCGGACGTTTTTCATCCACAATATATGTAACACCCAAAAGAAAGCTTCAGAGATTCTATAAAGTATATATATTCTTGATCAACGTGAAATCCTGAGCTGATTTAGACACGCCTGTCTCAAGAAATGCCCCCTATTCATGTAATATGGTGACAGTGAAAAAAAAGTGGAAAAGGAAATAGAAACATAATAATCGTAGATGCAGCCTAATGTCTATACCGACTGAGGACTCACTATGACCGAAGTGAACTCTAGCTTGATAGTCGCAATTCTTAGCTAGACGGCTGCTCATGCGCATATATAGCATATAACGAATAATGATGGCCAGAGGAATGAAGGGATTTTAGTCTGATAGGAGCCACGCATTGAAGCTTTAGGTTTTTAATGCTTTGCCCTCGGTAAAAAAAACAAATTTGTAGTGCTCATTAAGGATAGTGCAAATTCGCTTATAGCCACGCCTTAAATATTCAAATTTTCTTTAACTGAACATACATGCTTACGCATACAGTCATTTCGATGATAAGTGAATGGATCAAGAGATATTCAAATTCATATATCTGTTGTCTTACGGATGTCCACGATATTTTTTAAAATTTAATAATGAATCGGTTCAAATTTATATATCTGTTGTCGTATGAATACCCTCTCATGAATCCGTCAATGTTTACGAGTGGATCGATCTATTTGCTTACAGATATCTCCGATCTAAGGCTTCGTGGACATTTATCTAAACGCTTTAAGTTTTAATCAATGAAATTTTTTTAATTTTTTTTTTTTTTTACCTACATTGGCCGCGTTTGCATATGTCATTTTTTTTATTTCATTCAAAAGTTTTATCTGTGGAACTAATTGCAACTTTTGCGATGATGAAAATTCTAAAGAGTCCGGCAGGCAATAGAAATGAGCTTTCAGGTATGGGTTTTCCTCTTCTCGAGAACTTGAGCTATCGTCTCATCAAAAGCAATGTGAATGAATTCTTGTGATAAAAGCAAATTCAAAGAAAGGACTCTGTCCAATTCTGGTGAATACCATTAGAAACCTAATGACTAAGTTAAACATAAGCGTAATATAATGTAGACTTAGGGGTAAACTTGGAAAAAGAAAGTCGTGATTCAATCATATTTCGTTCTCCTTACATTTTTACCAGTATACATATATACTATAGTATTCGTAGAGTTTCTGAAACGAATCTTCAGCACAAAAGGAAAGAAAATAATACGCTTTCTTGTCAAGCAAAAGGCAGCGGAAGAAAAACACGCAATTCCCGGTACTTTTTGACAAAATACGCAAACCTCATAAGCTGTACGAAAAGTAGTTCGGGCCGTGTAGAACACTTCTAAGGCAAACACATCCAATTGGGCAGAAAAGATTCCCGCCATGAAACTTGCTTTCGTTTATAAATGTTATTCAAGGTTTCTGTTATTGGCAAGCGTAGCGAAGAAAATTTCATGAATTGAAAGACATGCCGGTCCAAAGTCAACAACAAAATACCATAATTACTATTGCAATAACATGAATGAGTTCAATGTTCTTCTACTTTACCTTTAATTTTTTTTTTTTTTTAACTTATGGAATTTGGGCAGCAAAGAGAAAATTTTGTTGAAAATTGTACCAACTATTTTTAGCTTATTGTATTTTTTTTGTTTTTTATTTATATTTTTTACCTTTTTTCTTAAATAATTTAATATTTTATTTAAAATAAGGAAAAAATTTACGAGCAACGATCACTTTTTTTCTTTTTTCAATTTACTTTTTTTATTCCTGCTATGCGCGAGCCTAACTTTTCTATTTCTGTATTACACGTTTACCGCACGATAGCCAAGAAACTTTTGAATCGCAACGTAGCGACAAACGAAAAAAAAAAAAAATAAAAAACATATCGAACAACAACTTGTTTAGAAACTAATAATAAATGCTTTTGCAATAGTGAAACATTCGTAAATTTATTCTCAAAAAGCACAGAACAGATAGAACCAAACCTGTATTTTATAGCGGACCAATGGACAATCCTATAAATTATTAAATTGGATGGTTGGCACTCCGTTTAATGGCCCTCCATTGGCACGTCTCACGTCTTTACGTAGTGGACTCTCAGTAGGTAACAAGCATAAGAATATAATTTAAAAAACAAAAAGAAAGAGTAATAATAACAACTAGTCATGAAACCCACATAGAAATAAATAATTAGCCACGCAAGACTCGAAAATATGCAAAGCGAACGGTACAATTATGCACAGTTTTTCGCATTTAGGCGAACAGACAGATATTCAGCACACAATCATTATGAAAAAAGGTGAGCGAAACCTGCATATAACGCTTCGATTGACGAAGACACAAGGTAAACTTAAACTAAGTGTTTATGTAAAAATCAATTGTGATAAGAAAATAATTGAATGAAAAGTTTGCATTATAAAGCGGAAAATGAAAACAAAGAAAAAAACCCGAATATAAAATAATCATAATAAAAATCATAGTGATAATAGTAAGAAGAAGAAGAAGTACAAGAAGAAGAACAATAGCAAACGAATTAAAATAAAAGCAAGAATAATTAAAATAATAATAATAAAAAAACGAAGAAGACGAAGAATGCGATGAGAAGAAGAAGAATTTTAAAAATAAGTTTAATTAGAATAATATTAATGAAGATAATTAAAATAATAATAGTAAGAAGAAGAAGAGTAAAAAAAAGAATAATGATAATAGCAAGAATAATTGGAAAAATGAAAATATTAATAAAAATAATAATAGGGAAAAGAAGAAGAAGGAAAGAATTATACTAATAGAAAGAGTAATTAAATAATAATAAAAAAGAGAAGAAGGCGAAGAAGAGGCTTAATTAGAATAACATTAATGAAAATAATAAAAATAATAATAGTAAGAAGAAGAACAAGAAAACAAAAGAATTACTATAGTAGAAAGAACAATTAGAATAATAATAATGCAATTAATAATAAT